TATGAGAACAACTAGGATGTCTGTGTTGGGGCGGGGGAAGGAGTAGGGAAGAACTAAAATATCCACATCAAAAGTCTTCCTAAGAACCTTAAAGGCATATTTCTCGACCTAGAAAAGTTCAAGAAGTAAATGTACTCTTTTCTCTTCACCAGGCAATCTAATAGAATCACTTCCCAATTGTAACTTTCCCTGCAATATACTGTCCTAGAACTTTCCAGTCTTCAGGTTTAGCAGACCCTTCAGTGGCTCTACTTTGACTTTTAAGTACTAACACATATTGGTTCCTTATGGGGAAAGTCTGCACAAGTGTGTAGGGACCCTTCTCACATCTGAGAATTTTACCAAGGACCACCACCATGAACTTCTGAACTATGATTTTTGTGTCAAGGCCAGAGAGAATATTGAATACAGCAATTTTTCCACTTTTAAAGAAACTGTTGCCCAGGTATTATACAGTGTTCATTTTAAATAACTGTGATGGGTTTTCACTGGTTTCTACAGGATATCAGAAGCAGACAGCCAACACATAGGAAAGTGGAAATAGCATTCAGACGACTGTTCCACCCTCTCCCCAAACTCTGGATTCACTCCTCCCTGCTGCACCCCAGGCACAAAGATTATATTATCATCACCACTCACATGGCTGCCATCTCAGAACAATGTTCTAACATTGGACTTAGTGTAAGAACACGGTGTTTTGAAGATCATCTGCAGTGGTTTACAAATGAAACTGAATTTTCTCCATGCAGAAGTTTTACAGGGAACTTCATGACAAGCCAAACTACAAAAATTCAAGAATGCTATTCTTAAGTTGCAAAATGCTATGCCATCATAAACTCACCATTGTATGTACAAACGCATCCTCAATACAGTGGAAATGGTAAGCATTTTATTTGTGTAACACGCAAGTGATAAAGAGATCTCTAAGGCCGGGCGCAGTGGCTCAAGCCTGTAATCCCAGCACTTTGGGAGGCCGAGACGGGCGGATCACGAGGTCCGGAGATCGAGACCATCCTGGCTAACACAGTGAAACCCCATCTCTACTAAAAAATACAAAAAACTAGCCGGGCAAGGTGGCGGGCGCCTGTAGTCCCAGCTACTTGGGAGGCTGAGGCAGGAGAACGGCGTGAACCCGAGAGGCGGAGCTTGCAGTGAGCTGAGATCTGGCCACTGTGCTCCAGCCTGGGGGACAGAGTGAGACTACGTCTCAAAAAAAAAAAAAAAAAAACAGTTGTCTAAACTATCTGGTCAGCAGTAGACTGCATACAATTACTAATACAGTGTATAAGGCTATCTGCATGTCAAGACCCTTTTATAATATTAATCCTTTAATGTGACTTGTACTTTATCTGTAGAACTAAGTAAGTTACAAGATTACAGAATAACCTGTGGAACTTTTAAAAAAACTAAAAAATTTTATCCATGCAACTGTTATAACTAAAAAATTAAGCAGGCATGAAATAGGATTAAGAGTAACACAGCCAAAGGACAAGAGTTGGATTTCTGAAGTGGCGGTGGGATTGTAAGTGAATTCTGATTTCCATTAATGCGGTGTGGGCACTAAATTAGAATTAATAAGTAAAACGGTATTAACTAAGTCAGTGTGGTGCTGGCATAAGAACAGACACATCAATGAAATCGAACATAGTCTAGAAACAAGAGCATGTAACCAAGCAAGCATCCCAAACCAGGGTGGAGGAAAGGTGGAGGAGATCATTTATTTAACAAATGGTACTGAAGTTACTGGCTAGTTGCTTAGGAAAAAAATCTTTGTGATCCTCACCTCATGGCATACATTTACCAAAATAAATAAATCCCATACGGATTGAAAATTTAGAAGCATTAAAACAAAAAAGCCTAGAAAAAGTCATGGTAAATATTTCTAATTTTTGGATGAAGAACATTTTAAAACAGTGACAGAAATTACAATGAAAGATCAATAGATTAAAGCGATAAAAGCTAAACTTCGTAAAAATTAAAAACATATCATACACAAAAAATAAACAGGAAAAAGTCAGCAACAAAAATGGCAAAGAGTTAAGGTCATTACTGTATAAACAGTACTTACCAACACACCAAAAAGAAAAGAGTGATTAGTTTACAAATAAAGGTTTGGGTGCACTAGCGATTAAAAAAAAAAAAAATTACCTAATCAAATTATAAAAATAAAATTTAATGTGTTAGTCTGGGTGGCTTAAATAGCAAACATTTATTTCCCACAGTTCTGGAGGCTGGTTTGCAGATGGTCACATGACAGAGACAGACATCATCTCTCCCTTTTCCCTTATAAAGCCATTAATCCCATTCATGAAGGCTTCACCCTCATGACCTAATCACCTCCCAAAGGTCCACCTCCAAAGACCATCATCTTAGGGGTTAAACACAGGAACAATGTAGGCCACACCAACTTTCAGTCTATAACCCTCAAGGATGACAAAAATGCAGGTTGGGCACTCAGATCTACTGGGCAAAGTGTTAACGGATAGATTTTTGCAAAGCAATTTGGTAAGTATCCACAACTTTTCATTTCATAGTCTTTGACCCAGTGGTTCCCTTTTGAAAATCTAAGAATATTCACATGTCAACGAAGATTACGGCCCAATTTTGTTCAAAAACATTGTTTATAATATCCCAATACTGAAAACAACTTAAATGCCCAATAATACAAAAATGGTCATGAAAGTATCATAAATTCATTTTAAAAAGTTAAGAAAACATAGAAGTTATATTCATGAAGGATTTATAATAATGTAAAAAGTATTTAATGTTAACTTTAAAAAGAAGAATGTAAAGCTGTATATGAAGTGTAAACTGTTTAAAAATAAAAGCGCATAGAAATGACTGAAGAAAATGTGTCAAAACATTAACAGTGGTTGCCTGTGGGTAGTAGTATTATGGCTGGTTTGTTGACACTTTTCTGTATGTTCTAAATTATATAAAATGGCCATGTATTATTAATACACCCTTATAATCCAAAGAATATAGAGCATATTAAAACAGAAATTTAAAGAATTAACAAAAATATAATGTTCAACTGTGGACATATATATCTCCCCACACAAATACAAATAAATTGTTTATATTTCCACCACTACTTTATTGCTATGCAACTTGGGTCTTTATACGCATACTTAATTTAGTAATTCAAAGCAATAATCAGGGTTTTATAACTGGCTTATTAGTGTTTGATTTGTCTTAGATCACTACTGAAGAACACCTAGAAGGTATTTAACTTCAGGGCTTAGTTACCAAAGACTTATCAGTTGCTTTCTAAAAAATGTAGAGCACATATACATCCTCTTGTGTGAAGGACAAGAGTCTGGCAGTGGTGTTTATCCTCAACAGACTAGAAAACCTCAGCTCAATGAGGGCCTAAGGAAAATGGCAGAGAAGGCAAGAGAAAATGGAACCAAGAACATGTTAAAATATGGAAGCTGGATTGTGAAAGGAGAACCAAAAATGGCAAATCCACTCCATTCAGGGATTGGAAAGAAAATAAAAACAATGCAAGATAAAAATACTAAATATAGAACTGAAAAGGACAAGAAAAAAAAATTACTCTGAATGACGAGGTTGCTTAATCATTTCTTAAAAGGGGAGTAGAAAAAAAACAGTACAAGATAGGGAATAAAACAGAACGAGGGATGCAGCAAACGAATCAAACTGGATACTATGGCCAGTAGTTTTTCATTAATTTCTGTAGCCTTGCCAATACAGTAACATTTAAGAAAATGCCAGCACTTACTTAAAACAATATGTGAGGAAATATTTGTTTTCTTATTATTTAACCAAGTTTTCCATGTTTCTATATTGTGAAAAATAAGGAGGCTAAGGCATATACAGAAAAACACATCACACACAGTTTACTCTATTTTAAGTATTAATGTGTTTAAAACAGAACTTGAGAGTTGATTTAGGTGTTACAAATAAACTTGGGGGCATTAACACAGATAAGTACTAAAACCTAACATTCTACAGAAAGCAGGAGGAGCCTCTGCCCAAAGTCAAATTTTCTAATCTGTAAAGATATGTTGCTCTAGAACTTCAGGAGGCATTAAAAGGTTAATCTTCAAAGGAAAGTCTGTAGATGTTTTGCATTTTTCAGTATCTAACCATTGCAGTGATAAATGCTTCACATGATCACTAAATATCCACATAAGAAAGCCCAAAGTTACAGTCTTTGTACTGGTTCATAGTTTCTCAAACTTGGTACAACCTTGCCAATTTCTGGTATGTCCATATCCCACCTGTACATTTACTTCTTTCCTCAAACCGACTTGCTTTTAAAAATTGAAATACCTACTTTAGGTTTGTCCTAAGTAGTAGACAAATCACCAGTTTAATGTGATAACTGTATTTTGAATACATATTAAAATACTTAAATATTTAAGTGAAACTATGTCCATATACCTTCTAAACACACTGTGCATGTTATTAAGTGGTAAAGCATACCATCCATCAGAAAATAGAGTCCAATCCCGATTTCTCTGACCAAGAAAACTTTGAGGAATGAATCACGAAATTGTTCATAAATCTGTTAAAATTACAAGCTTTTTTTCCCAAGGCAACTAAAAAAATTTCAGATCTTAAACTTTCTGATTACTGAAACTCTGAAGTGCCTGGTTTACTGTATAAATATTACATGCTATGAAAGTGAAACTTTTGAGAAAAATAAACTGTGAATGAATAGGCTCTATTAATATCTAGTTCATAGGTCTTCCGTAGACAAAGCCAGTCTTTATGCAATCTTTAATTACACCACCACTTCATCATTTGCCACTTGTTTTCTTGTCATACAGCTTGCACACTGACATAATTCTCATGTAATCTTTCATTTATGTAGATTTTCTCTCTCATGGATACACTTCCTCCACTTTTTATTTCATATTCCTTTCCCATCTTTGTACCTCCTGTCTCATACAGCAGGTGCTTAATAAAAGATTTTGAAACAGAACAAAATCAATACAAACCAAAACAAACCTTACAGCCACAACACACTGTGCATTTGTATCAAACAAAAGAGATTTTTATTTTAAGCTTTGCATTTCCTAAAAAGTGAGGACTCTGTCAAACATTTTTATCCACTCTGAGAAATGTACAATGATTAGGAAAGTGCATATCATAATAATTTTCATATATATGTACTCCAAAACATCACAAACACACGGCTTTGGAATAACTTAAGGAGTATAATCTGAAGATTTTGAAATTTCATAAATTAGCCTTTAATGAATTGTACAAATATTTATTTTTATAAAAAAAGTTGGTTTTCTGAACACATGGGTATTTAATTATTACTTCCACCTCACAAGACTCACATGAAAATAAAACACTTCAAATAGAAAAGGAGAAAAAAGTCAAAAGAAAACAAAGAGAAGGAAAGCTGGTTCACAGCATCTGAATTACTTCTGGACTCTCTTTCTGGTTCTTGAACCTTGAAGATAAATCAAAGAAACTGAAATCATTAATCAATAATTGACAAAAGCAAAAGAACAGAAATATAAATATCTCTAAATATAGTACATTTTAAAATCGAATTGACTCTGGTGATTTGCAAAGATAAAATTGACATACAAAAGTATGACTGCTAAAACTCTGAAAATCTTAGAAAATTGGGTCATTTTTTAATATGCCAAAAAATATGCTGACAAAAACGTACCTTCTAATCTTAAGCCATATAAAAATGCTTTGACTGATAAAATGTATCTAATTTTTACTAATACTGAAATATTTCTCTCCAAAATTTAAATTTATTGTAAAATTTAAAACATTATCTCCAAATATAAACCTTAGCAATATAGATAAGCATTCATTCCTTAGAGGGAAGCAATGAGGTCATGCATGTTATGAAAAGCAAAGGAATGAGTTGTTTTTAAAGCCTATTACCTACACCCTTTAGGCAGGAGAGCACTGGGATATACTGAAATGGAAAGTCTTTTCTGCTAGGAATTATACAGGTCCCAGATGAGTAGCCTCCTAGAAAAGGATCATATGCGATACTGGTCTTAGTCCCTTATGACAGCTCCTATCTAACTATTCTTGGTTTGGAATAAATCAGTGACTCTCTGCTGGGGGCATGGGAATTCTGCCTCACCACCGAGACATTTCACCCCACCTACTACTCCTACTCCACCTCTGGGCGCAGCAGTCAGCCTGATTACAGCTGCCTAGTGCTGGCAAAAGAAGCAGGGCCATTTCTTTCCCACTGCCGCATGCTATGCTTTGCCAGGAAAGAGCAGGGGCACCAGAGTGAGGGACAGCATGGTGCTTATAATTAATCAATGACTGCACCAAAAAAAAAAAAACAAAACAAAAGATCAATACTTCTTTTCTGAAAAGTACAAAATATTCTTTGAATGTGAACAAAATTCCACCATACGCATCTAAAGGTTTTCTCATTATGGGTTATTTAGTTACTTAACATGAAGGTCAGTTTCAAAACTAGCATTTTTAACGTTTCCAAGTTACAGTTTCTGTTCAATCACGATACAGTTCAATGAATGTAAATTTCCAATTTACATGAATATCCTTTTTCTGCCACTCATAATACACACCTTATATACTGTACTATGACTGATTCTAAAATTTGAGTTTTTTCTTAAATTTCTGTAACACAGCCATCTATTAAAAATATCCCACAGTAGATTTTTAGGTTTTTATTTCAAGAAATTTTATTTTTATTATTTTTTGAGAGGGAGTCTCGCTTTGTTGCCAGGCTAGAGTGCAGTGACACGATCTTGGCTCACTGCAACCTCCACCTCCTGGGTTCGAGTGATTCTCCTGCCTCAGCCTCCAGAGTAGATGAGATTACAGGTGCCTGTCACCACGCCCGGCTAATTTTTGTATTTTAGTAGGACTTAGACTTTCACCATGTTGGTCAGGCTGGTGTCGAACTCCTGACCTCAAATGACACACCTGCCTCGGCCTCCCAAACTGCTGGGATTACAGGCATGAGTCACTGCGCCCGGCCTATTTCAAGAAATTTGAAATTAATTCTGCACAGAAAACTGAAAATGTTGTGATAGTGAGATGTGGATAAAGGGTATTACAAAATCAAGGTCAATAATCAATACTGTATCTCCCTTTCAATACATTTTAAATCTTTAACCACACTACAAAGAACACTAAACTAACAACTATAAAGCTATATTCAAATAGCATTCTTCTCATTAATGTCTTAATTTGCCATTTTACTCTGAAATTAAATATCATTGCTGCTTATCTCCTTCAACCCAAAGTTTCTCACTGCAACTAAAAGGGCTACTACTGCCTGGAATTTATTATATAATCAGTCCTACACACCTTGTTGACTTTGCTGCATAAATCAATTCAATATTTTCCCTAATAATCAATTCTAATTGTTACAAAAAAAATCTATCTTCTTATCTCTTTAATTTAAAATATAACCATTTTCATAATATACACTACTGGCAAAGGGTCCAATCATAAGACTAATGTATGTAATTTGATATTTGGAAAACAACATACGAGTTTGGGATGCTTTTCTATGATTTTATAATGCAGTAGGAAAAAAAGTAGGACATTTCTTTGTAGGGTTCCCTTAAAAATATCTACTTTTTGACTAGTCATGCTTTCTCCAAAGATTCCTCAGGAATGGTCCAAAATCCAAGGTTCTTAAAAATAATACCAACAAAAGTAGCCTCCATCTTATGAAAAGGAGGGGGGAAAGTACACCAGCCATAAATATCATGACTATATTAGCTAATTTTTAGCACAATTCTGAAATACTGGCATAATTTTGAAATGCCAGAATATGCATGATTTTTAAAGGCTTATTTTGTGAGGGGAAAAATTACTTGCAGCAAATAACCAAATTTTCTCAACTGGTAAAAATTATGCCTTGCATAAAAATAAAAGGATTAGAGGCCTCTGTTCTTCTTGAAAACCATCCCATCACCTCCTCTCTTTATCTGAGAAAACCTACACAATACACATTTTGAAAGCTTTCAGAATGTGTTCTTACACAATAGACCCCCAACTATTCAAAATGAGTTTAGGTGTATCAAGAAAATTATACACGTTTTTAAAATGGTCTAAATAGATATTAAAGGAAAGTTGCTCCCATTTTGCTAGGCACAGCATTCTGAAAGATCACACAGTGAGAAAAATCTCTTACCATACTGTAAATCATAAATTGTGTTTGAAAATAAAATTGTTAATGAAGAAACTGACATTTCTAAAGCTGCTGTTAGAGGTAACCATTCTTGAAACATGTTTGACACAAAATCTTAAAGCCCTAAAACACAGTATTCACTGAATTGCACTATATATCTTAAAAATCAAAAAAACAAACGTAATAATGTGTCTTTTCCTTCAAGTTACTTTTACACTGATAAATTTAAAAATATACATTTACACAAATTCTTGGCTTTTTCTTTTTGCTGGAAGCAATAACATTTTACCATCAGATAATATTTCTCTCACTTATGATTATTTTGATAGTAAAATACCTTAACTCGCCTTGTACTTTAGGGGGAAAAAGTGAACTGTAATGGGGGAAATAAACAGCATTTTAAGAAAAGCAATTCTGAGTTTATATGAATAAGGGTGAATCTGATTATTCTTTATCTTCTTAAAAAGTTATGTCAAAAAAACTGAATTGTTCTTCTTAAATTATTTATGACTTTACTATACTCTTTTGTCATTAATAAAATAACAAAAATACTAATATATTTTCTCATGGGAAAAACCATCAGTAGAAGACCTTACACTAAAAATTTAGGTTAAAAAAATTTCATAATTATACTAGAATTTAAAGGCATTTATTTATCAAAACAAAAACCCCTGATGCTCATTAAGCAAAGTTCAGGTAACAAATGATGTCCAGGCAGTCAAGAGAGGGATGAGTCTTCCCGATGCACAGCTGAGACTCTGCCTTAGACTTAATGAGTGTCAATCTCACTAGAATAATGCAGGATCTTTCTGAAACTAAAATTGCCAGTTTTAAAATTTAAGGGATTGTTTTTTAAGAATACTGCTGTATCTTTATAAATACTCCTTAATTTTGTTCCCACTCACTGTCATAGCTGCTGCTGCTAGCCTCTGGCTGAGACATGGTTCGATGTATTGCTCCTTGGGACTCCTCACTTCCTAATAACAAAATGAACAAGACACGGGAAAAGGGAAAAAAAAGACAGTAGCGAATGGAAGACAGCAGCGGATAAAAGAGAGGGACTACTTCAAAACCTTTCACCTTCAGTATGAAGTTTTATATTCCCTCTTCAGGTATCTCAAGTATTCTTTGGGTTAAAGCAGATTAAACCAAAGGATGTTCTAACCATAATATGAACATAGTATTTGTTCATATTATAAACAACATAGTAATGAAGAACATAGTAGTAAAATCAGGGCAAAAATGATTCTCTTTGAAAGTTGAATACTTTGCTTTCCACAAACATGCACTGATGCCACTAGCAAAAGGAAGGAAAAATAAATTGGTGGTATTACTCACTATGGCACCTATGCTTTAAAAAAATTTTTTTTAACCAAAAATAAGCCCTTTCTGTTAGAAACCAAGAAATATTTCAGGACAAACAAAATAATTTTTTTAAAAAAGGCAGACAGGAAAACTCTTTTTAAAACAATGTATTGTGGGCCACACTGAATAGCTCTCTTTATTGAGTCAAGTACATCATCATATCATATGAATCCTGGAACATATTGGCTGGCAGTTTATTAAACATATCAGACCAAAGTCCAACCTAGTTCTGCCATTTGCAGATGCTGCCTTTGCTCATGCCATTTCTGGAACTATTAGAAGTGCCTTCAGTGCCAGTTTATAAGCCATCTCAGAAATGACTTCGTATCTTGTTTTTTTTTTTTTTTTTGGTTCAAGAACTGTGAAAAGTGATCAGCCATAAAGCTTTAATTCTTTTCCTCTTAACTTGTTCAGAAAAAAAGAAGAGGTTGATAAACTTTGTAAGAAACAATTAGGCAGCTCAGTTACAATAGACCCATGTCTGACCCCTGACACTCACTATCATACCCAGAGTTATGTGGGATCAGTGTGAGGAAGTGGATATTGGCCTGACAGTTAAGAGTTCTGGTCTCTATCACCCTTTCACAACAGCTCAGTCATTTATTTTATTTATTTTAGAGATGGGGTTTCTATGTTGCCCAGACTGGACTCAAACTCCTGGGCTCAAGTGATCCTCCTGCCTCAGCCTCCTGAGTAGCTGAGACTACGGGCACACGTCAGTCACCACGCCTGGCAGCTCTGCCATTTAATCATTCAGTGTCTCGGGCTCCAAATCCGCAAAATGAAGGAAGCTTCCCAGTCTCAACTTTATAATTATTGTGGAGAGTAAATAATCTAACGTATGTATAAAAGACACCACGATACATACTATACAAAAATCTTGTGGCATTTTATTATAAAATCAAAAGGTCATGACCCAAAGAGTTGACCCCTCATGTAATGGGAGGAAATGAAATGTGTGTTTACGTATGGAAGCTGCTAGGCAAACCTGTTCAACTTACGGGTCTGTATGGCCTCCTCTGTCTGTGTGTCTGACCATTCCATATCTTCAACACCAGGTTCCTTGCTTTCTTCCATTTCTTTCTTTCGCTTCTTACATATAAAAATTAAAGAGAGAGAGAGAAAGAGAGATGTCTGACAGTCAAGTAAACTACAAACTCATCAAGTATTTGTGTGTGTGTGTGTCTGTGTGTAACTGTATATAGGTGTGGGTATGTCGAAACACACAGGAAGAATATTCTCAACTTCAGGATAGTGGTTACCTAAAGGAATGGATGAGGGATGGAAGAAAGGGGGAGTACGAGAACTCTCAACTAGACAGTTAACCCAGATGGTAGCTATATTTGTTATATCCACCTCTAACTTTTCATGCTTTATATACTTCATTATTGAAAGCTATGGTTTAACCATCAGGATTGATCATACAGAAACTCTTTTAAAATAAAATGTTTTACAAACTCACGATCACCACTCAGGCCAATGATACTCTCCACATAGTACAATGCGGGTAGGATGGAGAGAGGATAATTTATTTGATAAATGGAAAAAATGTATGTCTTGTCCCATATATTACATCAGTGTTTATACCACATAACACTGATGGTAAAATTCTGTTTATGAATCAATAATGGAAAACTTGTAATAAATGTTTCTCTTTTAGCATACTTTTTATTAAAAGTTTAAGAGGGCCATAAACCTTACTGTAAATGAATAGTCTTAAAAGTACAAAGCTCTCCTAAAATCTCAAAAACCATCTGGATTTCCCACATTCTCTTGGGCCTATCCTATTTTTCTAGTGAAGTGTTATTTAGGAGTCAGTGCTTATATTCTGTCACTATCCATTCTTCCCAAATGTTCCTTCAATTTCATTTTATTACTTTCTACCACTACAACATTTTTTAACAGGTCCAGTCCTGCGTTAAGTTTCTAAATTCTCTAACATCTCTATACATAGGTAAAATTATAGAGGGACATTAGTAATAAATATGAAACTTTGAATTTAGTATATAACTTTATCTTGTGTAGTTTCAAATTTAAACTGGTTAAAATCCAAATTTTAATCCAAAGCTTCTTTTGGTTGCCTAAAATAAGTCTGTATCATTTAGAAAACCATCTGATATGCCCCAAATCTCACAGGTTCACAATGCAACAGAATGTCCTCATTTATATTTTCTAACAATTAACAATAAGTTAAACTTCATCTGAGAATGTTCCTTGCTGCAGGCCATTTTGTGTACAGCTAGAAAAGAGGATAATGCCTGCTGACAGCACATTGTTCCTTTTCCTAATGGCAACCATGGGTTCTGTTCCAAAGAGAACTACATGGGAAAGCCGAACTCTATTCAAGCCACATTATCTTAAAACCTCCAAATGGTCAGAACTGTTATTATCTATGTATTACAATTAATCCCACTGTTTCAAAACATTCTTAAGGTGGCTGTGGAAAATTAGAACTCAGAGGTACCCACCATGTTCCTAAAGAAAATGCTTCACACATACGAAAGTAACAACTTGACTGAAACTTGAGAAACTTTCAAAGGCATTCATTTAGCAGATTTGTATATGGAGGTACTGCCTCTCAGAAATAGCTGTAAGAGTGGCTATAACTTCATATAACTGATGAGAAAAGGGGAGAATGCCTTACATCTTTCTTTCCAAAGTGTTGCTTCATGATTACCATCTAAACCCTGCTGGGCTGAACAGATTGGTTCGATAATTACATACAATAACTGCAGTGGGCAGGTAACCCTCAGCTGGCACAGGGCAGCTCCCCTGTGAGAACTTCCATATGCAAACTGCACTGATGGAGTGCATTAGGTACATCTTTCCTGCCTGTGCACAGGCCTGATTAACGCCAGCCAAGACTCCAAGGTTAGCATGTCAGCAGATTTGTGATGCATTAGGCAGGAATAAACACAGACACTTTTGTTCGTTCAGACCAAAATTAAGGAGGAATATTTCAGTACTATATTGCTTTCCATACAGCAGAGAATACATTTTCCAGTTTTTGGAGAGCAGATTTTTAAATGCTCATTATAAAGGGAGCTAGCTATCCAATACATTCTACCCAAGAACCTAAGTGCATTCATCTAGTTTTCAAGCTTATTTAATAAAAGGGGGCTTTCTTAATCTCCATGCAGGTAAATTACATAGGAAGGAAAATCAGACAGTATTCAACCAACAAAAAACAACACCTGTGCTTTAAGCAGTATGCACTAGGTAAAGCACTCTACTGCATTAATCCACACTTCAGCCAGGTAACTCCTGGCCAACTTTTCTAACAATGTACATAGTCTGGATACAAAGGGCCAGTGGTCTACAGATGAATTAAAAGACCAAAATAAAACCCTTCAAGTTTAGTAGTATCTAAGTATGTTATCAATTTTATAAGGCAATGAGTAAAATTCTAAGCAATCTGCTGCCAGCTTCTTCCTTCTGAATATTTCCAAATGCTTCATTTTGTTATTTGTCAACATCCTTAGGCTTCAGATAGTGCATATTTTGGTTCCTTTTGAAGAGAAAAATGGCTTCACAAAGTGACTATGCTAATCTCTGATTTCTGCCACATTCTGTATGAGGTCTCACAGGTGCCTTTGTGTTTAATATGAAACCAAAATATTGTATGATATACTAACTTATAAAATAAACTTGAGTATTCTTTTAATTCAGCACAGCTAAAATATCTTCAGAAATTAGATTTCAAAGGGCACTAGAATATATATTACACATTATATTTTTGAAGTGTTCAGATATGCTAAAGTTTAATTAGCAGCTTCTCACTTCCAATTTAGAAACAGGAAGACAAATAGGCTACATGCATTTGAACTGATAATTTACTAATAGTCTAAACACTGACTGCTATTGACTTAAAGTTGTTTTAATAGAAAAGAGAAAAAAAATCTTCAGAAGCAAAAACCAAAGACCAATTCTTTGCTTCCCAAGTCAAGCATCAAAAGATCACCTCTAGATGCTTTCAACAGCTTCTAAGAAAAGCCAATCAGATTCATGGCTATCTCCAAGAGATGAGTACTCAGGCAGTGTTATTTGGGTTTTGCCCATCCCTTATGACAGAAGTCTACATGTTTACTTTAGAAACTTAAAATATACAGCCTAGAAGTTTTAAAATGCTTCATACAGCACATATGTCATAGAACAAAGAACTTTAAACACTGCATGAATCAGTCCATGTGACTGCACTAATCAGTTAATCTTATTTTATTTATTTGATTAAATTATTACATTCCCTAACAGTGGTTGAAAACAGAATATTAGTAGTAACTAAAAAGATATAACACATCTTCTATGAAGGTAAAGCAAACATGTTACTATACCACAATATTTCTGAAACTAATAGTTAGTTAAAATCTACTATATACACAGAAAAAACTGAAGCTAGGGACGGAAAAAAGCCAGAGAATGAATGTGCTCAGTGTTTCTCAGCTGATGGTGATGAAAAGACTAGAACTCAGAGTTCTTTATCCTTATTGCAATTTCCTTTCCACAGCACTACGCTGTCTCCCTATGTGAGCTTTCAGTAGGAAGCAGCAGTTTCTAGTTGCTGTGTTCTTACTGTATTTTTTCTAGAGTTATATTATAGTACACAAATTTGTGTATTTCATGTAAACTATTTCCATAACCTCCTCTATTTCTCTCCTACTATGTAAGCCCCCTGAGGGCAAGGACTATGGTTTTCCTCATTTTTCTAACCCTTAATGAGCTTGGCACAGTGTTTTGCACATATACAGATGTGCACCTGTAGAGGAACTATTAAACTATTCTCGTAATAAAGCGATAATTTCATATCTTCCTCTAAGTCAAAAACTGTAATATTTGAATGGACATTAATTACAGATATGTTTCAAGAAAATGCAGGAAAAGGTCAAACATAATTACAGGGAGAAGAAATAAAAAGATGGAGAGTTAGGAAATGAACAAATGACTTGAAAAGAGACAGATAAATTTGAGGAATAATCGAAAAATATCCTGCTAGAGGCCTGGCGCAGTAGCTCACACCTACAATCCCAGCACTTTGGGAGGCCTAGGTGGGCAGATCACTTGAAGTCAGGAGTTTGAGACCAGGTTGGCCACATGGTGAAACCCCGTCTCTACTAAAAATACAAAAATTAGCCAGGTGTGGTGGCAGGCACCAGGCCCAGCTGAGGCAGAAGAATTGCTTGAACCCAGGAGGTCGAGGTTGCAGTGAGCCAAGATCACACCAATGCACTCCAGGCTGGGTGACACAGCGAGACTCCGTCTCAAAAAAAGAATAAAAATAAAAATAAAATTTGCTAGAATTTATTAAAGTGATTTACTATTTTCAATGAATTTCAGAGATGAAGACTGTAATAAAAATAATGACTATTGCAATTTCCTTCCACAACAGCATTGACCTCCAGCTGAACAGAAGTGAAGATCACCACCACATACTTACTAAGCATCTACTGTGTGCCTGGCACTGTCATTTTCGAGCTGAAAAATAGACACTATAAAATAGTTAAAGCAAAGGAGAACCATCATCTTTTATAAAAACATTAAATACACACACGTTTAATTTCTGCAACTATTTTTTTTTGATGTAAGCACTGTAAGAAATCCTTTTAGGGTTCCATAAATGAGTGTTCTTACATAAGTGTCCAGTGTAATCCCACTAACATGGAAATTCATTCTATGAAATACCAATCCATATGTACATGTAACACACACGTTACCTCACAGTCCACCCTGGATTTTGTTGTTGTTGTCTACTTGTTTAAATTTAGATCTCTCTCCTATCAACATTTTTAGTCATCTACTCTGGAGACAGGAAGTACAACTCAAGCAATTTTGCTAATTATTATTAACAGGTCTGAAGGAACGAGGTTAGCAAAATAATATGATTAAATATATGGCAGACAAAGTTTGGAATATCTATGTTCTTCACTAGTTCAAGCTATCCCACCCTTACTTACAAAACCATGAAAAATTAAGAATTTACTGTAACTATCCAAAAATAACACACCAAAAATTGCAGGTAATTTATATGAATGTGCCAGAAAATACTGATACAATGCTAGACTTTGTCAGAATAAATGGGGGAAAAAAACTATCTGGTT